CTATAATAATATGCTTTTGATATTATATTGATTAATTAGAATTATTAATATCGTAGATTAGGGAGAAAATTTTGCACGAAACACGAAGATAATTATTTATTTATTTATTTATAACAAGATAGGGCTAAGTCTTCGATGAATTAGACTAATAATCAAAATAATAACATGGGTCCAGGATTGTGTCTTAATTTACATTAGTAGGAATTGTGGATAAATATTTATTAATTTATTATATATAATTGACTTAATTAAGCTCGATAAAATTGAGAATGTATGATTAGTAGGAATAATTTTGCACTTCTTTCTATTAGATAGTAAGAATATCAGCGGTTGGAATAAGTGAGTTTGTATTAATTGACCAGAATTCGAATTCTGCTGTCAAAAGTCGTTAGGTCGAGCTTGTCACACATGGTTCGTCTAATGTGATTTATTCAGTACAGTTATATGGTTGGCTACTGTATGAATGGATAAAGAACCATATAAAAATAAATCTTTAAGAAAATAAATAAATATATATATATATGAACCTCATAATTAGGATCTGATCCGACAGAATAGAGAAAGAGTTATAGAACAAAGAATCACATGCTAAAAAGGGCTTCCTTAGCTTTATAACTAACTAAATAGATTAGATGCTGCAAGAATATATCAATGTGCTGTAGAAACTGCGGCAGAACCTTATTATATATTTATATTGTGTAAATGCCAATAAGAAATAAAATTTAAGTACATCATGTAATAAAAAAATATATATAAATATAAATAGTTTCTATTATTTATTCATCAAAATTCAACATCCTTTATTATCACCAAAACTACAAGCAAGGACTATACATTTATATATATAGTACCTTGCAACAAACTCTAGAACCAATCAAATCTCCGAAAAAAACAAAAAAAAAACAAAATAAAAATAGATAAGTATACATTCCGAAAATTATTAAATATTACGGAATTTTATAATTTAGAGCTCCTCTGGGTTGATCTCGAGCTCCTTGAAGAGCTGAGCGCATTGTGGGTCGGCTTTCTTCTTGGTGAAGCCGAGTGGATTGGCCTTGCGTGTGTTGTCATGGAATCCACTGTTTTTGGTGAGTGTGATTCTCGAAGTTGGCTTGGTAGCCCACCCCTCGTCTGGGACCACGTTGCAGTCTGGTCGGCTGCTCCTGACAAGTGTGATCTCGCATTCATCTTCACCGTGGTCGCCTTCCACCGTGAGATGATATTGCCCCTTGTCGTCCGTGATGCCCTCTAGACTGTAGGTTATGTTGCCTTCTGTCTCGCCTTTGCACTGGAGTCTCACAGTTGCACCTGCAGTATATATGTATATGTCAGCATTTTTCAGTGGCAGAGTCAGAATTTTATCCTTTCAGTTGATCTGTTTAGATAACAGATCTCTACATAAAATAATAGAGTTTATGAAATGTAGTAGGGGCCATGACCCCCATATGGCCCCACTACGATTTCTATATTAAAATAGTGATGTGGGCCCGATCGTTTCTCGTGCGTAACGTTTTAATTTTCAAAATTTGCACGTGTCGAGACGATTCGTGCATGCATGTACGATATAAGGGATGAAATATAATGTGTAATGTAATTTCATGTTAATTTTTTTTTTTTGTGGCTCTTAATTAAAGACACATATATTAATATTATATATACAATATAATGTAATGTACCTGCCATAGGCTGACTGAGTTTGTTGATGAAATTGGTGCGGCAGACTTCACAATAGACATCTCCCTCGACGGAGAACTTAGTGGCGGCGGCGTTTGACTGGGCTCCGCCGGGGAGGGACAGCAAGCACAGAGCTCCGGCGAAGAGGATTGCAATTTGTGTAGCACTTGCCATTTTCAATCACTTTCTTTTTCTTTTTTCTTAACTCGAGGGGATTAATAATGAAATGAAAATGTTTGAATTGTGTGTGATTTGTCTGTGGGGAATTGGTGGCTATTTATATTGATTGTCAATTATTTGTGTGAGGTGACATTTTTCTTATTGTTTGTCTTTTTTTGTGGTTGAAAATTAAACTTTGACTCTCCACCTTTTTTGCAGCACCTGAAAATAAGCTCTATCCCACATTTTTTTAAATAAAAAATTAATAGTTAATTAGTTTATTAATCACACATTCGTATTAGTTTTTTCATGTAATTGCATTCTGACCAGAAATTCAAATAATTAAACTTTGGGGAAATATTTCGAAAAATAAAAAAATAAAAGAATTAAAGACTTAATGGACTTGTAGTAAAAAACTTAATGGGCTTGGCCCATAATTGTTTTTTTTTTAATTATAGACGAGTTATGTTTTGATCCAATTAAATAACCCAAGTAAATACTTAGCCCATTGAAGTGGGAAAGAATATTTTGTATACTCGTCAACGCTTCATTATCATTGTCCTTACATTTTACGTTTATCTCAATACGATCAAGTCTTAATTGTCGAATCAATGACTTTATACACGCAACCTCGTCGTTATCGCCCAGTATACCCTCGTCATATCCATCAAAATTGTAAGCAATTGCCACATCCTTCCCATTTAGAAAAGAACCACCATCATATGAACATTCGAAACAAAACAAACGAAATTGGAACAAAATCGATCTAATTGAACGAACTTTCCGTGCACCTTTTCTTCAGAAAACAAGCACACAATAGTAGTAATCCGACAACGAATCAATCGAGCGAATAAATCTACCAAATAAACTAGTTCCTAAAAGATACTACGTCTTCAGCAAAAAAAAGATACCAATCGAAACACGGAAATCACGAACGGCGATTGTGGAAGGACATTGCTAATGATTATGACATTGCATTTTAAAACTAAACACATGGCCAATTCAGTCTTCTTGTGTCTAGTCACAGATGTCTCACTAATTGAAAAAAAAATTTGAGTATAATTAAAAGTCTCTAAATTTGAGTTTAATTCATACTATTTACCCCTAAAAAATATTCCAATAATAATAAATTAAACTCGGAGAAGTGACGTTTTTGTAATTTCAGAGCTTTGATCAAACGGTACTAAGGTCAAATGTCTGACAACTAACAGCGATGACCACATTGAGACAATTTTTCAAGTCCATAGGGCAAATCAATGCAATTCGAGAGTAAAAGGGGGATAAAGTAGTACAAAAACAAAGTAGAAGGGGAGAAAGTGGATATTACCCTAAATTAAACAACAAATAATTAAAAATAAAATAAAATAAATAATTACTAAGCACTAGTTCTCCTCCAATGGCAGAGAATGGGCGAGGTGGGTGGTCGAATCAGGTATGGGTACACGTACAAGACAATGTCCAGAGGATAACAAGATCGTGATGGTATGGGTATTAGCTATTCCGTCATTTTCTTCATATATTCCAAACTCTCTCTTCTTTCTCTCTCATCAGTCAACCACAGCTGCTTTGCTTGAATTATTACAACTCTTTCTATTAATAGCATTCCCCGCATACAAATGGCGTCCTCGTCTCCTTTCTTTTATTGCAACTCCCCTCAATTTCTCGACCATCGGAACATCAATTCTACTAATAATAACAATCTGACGTCATCCTCCTCCTCTAATTCTTGTTCCCCTTCCCCTTATTCTTCCTACCCTAGCAATTTCTGCAATCGCCGCCGCCGTAATTGCTATTCCGCAGCTTTTTTTTTTTTTTTTTTAATGGGTTGTGCTGAAAATAACTAGGGCTGGAATTTTTTGCGTAATTATGAATTATGATCCTTTGTTTTTGTAAAGGTTAACTGAAATTAAATTACGATTGATTTTATTATTTATTTTCAACTTATGCAGGCTCAAAAATTATTTGGAAGCATAAAAGTATTAGGGCTGAAGCCATGAGTACATCAAATGGGAATCTTTCATCACAAAGGGGCATTGTCGATTTCGAGGATGAACCGGATCATCTTCTTGTTCTTGTTCATGGCATCTTGGCTAGGTATATATATGCGCGTGTTCGACTATTCGTATACACCATTATCTTGTTCAAGTATTTTTGTTGGAATTTATCGTTGTTTTTTTGGGTTCGATGTTTTGACATTGATTGAATTTTTTCCAAGCATTGCAGCCCAAGTGATTGGACGTATTTTGAATCGGAGCTGAAAAGACGATTAGGGAAGAAGTTCTTGATTTACGGTGCGTTGCTTATGCGTTATCCGAACAAGTATTTCAATGTTTTTTGTGTTGTATGAAAGTGGCGTTTGTATATATGGTTGATGCCGACTTTCACAACTTTCCTCTGTTTTTTAGAAAACCGGCGAAAGTCGGTAAAATATCTATGTGGTTTTATAGCAATTAACATTTGCATCTGCTAACTCGCTTAATATGTGCAGCAAGTTCATGTAATATGTATACCAAAACTTTTACGGGAATCGACGGTGCTGGAAAACGACTTGCAGATGAAGTAAGTTTCGAGATCGAGTCTTTATCCATGCCTTATTATTTCTGAATATATGAAGGTAGATTTTGTTGAATATATTATTATCTTCTTACACATATATTTGCATCGAACAGGTAGTGCAGGTAGTGAAGAAGACAGAAAGCCTAAAAAAAATATCTTTCTTAGCACATTCGCTCGGTGGATTATTTGCAAGAAACGCAATTTCGGTGCTCTATTCTCCAAACGTGTCTGCAAATAAAGGTTTAATTGCCGGGCTAGAAGCAATTAATTTTATTACACTAGCAACACCTCATTTAGGAGTTAGAGGAAATCGGCAGGTATATGTTTCTGATTACTATATCAATCATTTATTTATCGGATAATTACGAAGAAAGTGCTTGATGCTATAACGACAACTTATACAAGTGTCGTTAGTTGTGATTCAGCTTCCGTTTCTTCTGGGAGTATCTTTCTTGGAGAAACTAGCCGCTCCGATTGCCCCCGTTTTTACGGGCAGAACTGGGAGTCAGCTCTTTCTCACAGATGGCAAGCCTAATAAACCACCTTTGTTATTAAGAATGGCTTCCGACTGTGAAGATGGAAAATTCATGTCAGTATTATTATTATATATTTAATTTGCTAAAATTTGTTTTTTTTTCAAGGACTTATTTTTGTGGTTTATTCGAAGCTCAAAACAGCAGGTTTTTTCTTCTTTTTTTTTCTTTTTACAGATCGGCACTTGGCGCTTTCAAATGTCGGGTTCTTTATGCCAATGTCTCATATGACCGTATCCCAACCCCTAAAAAATTGATAATTATTATTGCAATTTTTTCTTGCTATATCGTATTTTGATTATTGAAATTCTTAACGGAACCAAGATATGGTTGGTTGGCGAACATCTTCCATACGAAGAGAAAATGAGCTCTTTAAGGTATCGAATTCTTATTACGTTTAACCTATAATTTGAAACGAAATTAGCTGTGGCCTGGAGGATAGAGGTACC